ATACTGCCTTGGGGAGTATTGCCATTTTGACGATGTGTATACCACTCCTGGGAATATAACCCAGAGAGGCAAAAAAGTATAGTCGAAATGACATCTGCACTTGTATGTTCACTGCTGCACTGTTCACAATAGCCAAAATATGGAAAAAAGCCAAGTGCCCAAGAACAGATGACTGGTTAAAGAAACTTTGGTACATCTACACAACGAAATACTATGCAGCAGTTAGAAAGGATGAAGTCATAAAATTTGCAAAGAAGTGGTCCTACATGGAAATTATCATGCTAAGTGAAATGAGCCAGAAAGAGAGGAACAGACATAGAAAGACTGAACTCATCTGAGGAATATAAAGTAACAGAATGGGAGTCTAACACCCATGAATAGTTGAGATAAGTACCAGGAAGTCCGCTCCACAGCTTGGAAGCCAGCAGTATATGCTGGGGGAAATGCAAGTCAGATAGAAAAGAGAACACCAAGTAAAGGGTGTTTGGAGGACTCGCTCGGGATGCAAGACGTGTGCTGAAAATAGACTATAGACCAAACACGATGGCCATTCAATACCTCTATTGCAAACCATAACACCTTTAAGGAAAGAGAGAGCAAAAGGGAATGCCCTGCCACAGAGGTGGGGTGGGCTGGGGAGGATGGGGAGTTGGGAGGGCTACTGGGTTCACTGGTGGTGGAGAATGGGCACTGGTGGAGGGATGGGTATTGGATCATTGTATAACTGAAACCCAAACACAAAAATATGTACACCTAAAACTGTACCTCATGGTGTGTCACTAATAAATTTTTTCAAGTAATAAACAATTCATTGTTAACATAAACTCCATTTGATAAAGTATTATTCACTTTATAGTCCATTATCTAAAATTCTGTTAAATTTATTTAAGCATTTCTGCATTCATTTTAAGGATGCTGATCTAGAGTTCTATATTCATACTGCTTGTCTAGTTTGGGTTCAGGACATGCTCACTTCAAAATTATTAGGGCATCAGCCACTTTCTAGCCATTCTGGTTTGCTCAACTCTGTTCTATGACTTCTCAAACCAGTGACTGGGACTTTTATCTGCCAGAGTTCCAGTCACCCTTTATCTTAAAGATTGGAAGGCACACTCAAAAGAAAAACCACATTAGTGAAAACTATCCCAGTGTGTTTTCTTTTTCATGGGTAGGATACTCCATTTTTCCTGATTTGGAACATTCTCATGCTATTAATGAGGTCTTTTATTTTGTTCATGGAATTTTATTTCTTATCATAGAAACAGTTAACCTAATGAAAGTCACTCTAAATTATTCATTCTTTTTCTTTTGACCATTACATAAAGCACCATTATGTAAAACTACTTTCTTTAGGACACAGAAGAAGGCTTAGCGGGCTGAGATCCCTTGCTCTTCAGGAGGGTGGCCCAAGTGTGATTCCTCTGCATTGCATGATCCCTTGAGTACCATACCATGAGTAGCCCCTGTCTGAGCACCTATGTGTATACTCTCCTTGCATAAAAACGCTCAAACACTCTCCCCTCCAATTAATGTTACTCAAAACTGACTGTATAACTCAATGCAATAATTATTAGTATTAAAGTTAAAGAAAAATAATTACATAATCTAAAGAGTTTCTTTACTCCAGGAATTTTAAAAATATTTAATAATCAAGCAACTGGACCTTTTGTGTTAAACTAGAATATGCTCAAGATATTGCCCAAACTTTTAAATATGTAATTAAGTAACATTAAAAAATTTATTCAGACACCTGCTACCTTGCTTGCAGAGAAACAATGAAGCATCACATCTCAAAAAACAAAACAAAACATAATACTGCCAAATCATCCACAGTAGACTGGTCCAAGCTGAGAACTCTGGGGCCTTCTGTGAATGGAGATGGCAAATTCCCCTTTCTGCCTTAAGGCACAGCAGCCTGAAACCATACTTAATACCCTCCTATATAGAAACTGCCCAACGTCACAACTGAACCTCATCAAACTGCCAAGGCACTTTACCCTTTCAGAAATTGTACTGCAAATCATAATGCCCAAAAGGAGAGAGTGTGTGCAACAGAGAGAAAAATAAAACCTGCCATAGCGGCAGGCTGTTGGGGGGAGGGAGTGAAAGGACAAAAACTGGGGACATTGGTGTTGGGAAATGTATACACTGGTGAATGGACAGGTATGGAATACTGTATGACTGAAACCCAATCATGAATAATGTTGCAACTGTGTACCTCATGATGATTAAATTAAAAAGATGTAAAAATAATAAAAGAAGAAAAAATAAATTGAATAAATCATTCCATAGCTACAACTCCTGGACCATACACAACACCTCAAAATTTCATAGTACTCTCAGCCCAGTAGGACCACAGCAAATCTGATTGCAAAGTTACATAGAAGACAACCAAGCTCAATGAGACTAAAAAATAAAACAGGAAGCTCAACTAGAAGTATCCATCACAGTATATCAATGACTTTAGCAATATCATTGTAAGCTATAACTTGATCACTTGACTTGACTTCCCATTAATTGTCGATTTGTTCGAGCGGATGCTAGTAACATCTCCATTTGTACCTGTCGCGTGCTAGTGTAGCCCAATGGTGTCTGTTCACTCTAGGAACATGAAGAGCCTCAAACTGATCGTTCATGATCTTGATGAAGAAGTCTGACCGTCTGGTAGGTGGGTGGCCATGCGGGCTTTTGACATCCCGTGGAATCCACTGGGTAACAGCTCTAGTCCAGTGGTCATCTTTAAATCTCATTACGTGACAAGCCCATCTGATTTTTGACACCTTGGCAAATCAGACAGCGTCCCTGATTCTTGATCGTCGACGGAGGTTGGAACTCCGGATTCTTTCTCTCATTTGAGTAAAACGTGATATTCCAAGCATAGCTCTTTCAATTCCTCTTTGGGAGACCCAAATAGTGTTCTCATCCTGTTTGCATAGGGCCCAGGTCTCTGAGGCATATGTTAATGCAGGAAGAAAAGTGGAATCAAAGAGATGTGCCTGGAGCCGGAGGTTCTACGTCCTCTTAGCTATTTCTTCGATGCTATTGAAGGCGTTCCGAGCCACTCTCTTCCTCCTGCGCAGCTCAGGTGCCAGGTCATGTGTCATGTTGACTTCTCAACCTAGGTACACATAGCTGTTGCATTCGAAGATGGTCATTCCGTTGAGAGAGAATGGGGTGTCAGGAACGAGGCTGTTTCTCATAAACATTGTTTTCGTAAGATTCAGCTGTAGTCCGACCTTTCCACTCACGGTCGAAGTCGGCCAGCATTTGTGCCACTTGGCTAATGTTTGGTGTTATTAAAACAATGTCATCAGCAAAGCGGAGGTGGTGTAGTTGCCGACCATCTATCTTCACTCCCATTCCTTCCCATTCCAGTAGTCGCATGATGTTCTCGAGGGTGGCACTGAAGAGTTTCAGTGAAATGGTATCACCCTGCCGAACCCCTCTCTTGACATCAATGATTACTTCTTTGAAGAATGGTGAGATCCTGGTAGTAAATCCGTAATACAGCTCACGGAGGATCCTGATGTATTGAGTTTGAATACTTTGATTGGCTAGGGCTTCAATAACCGCTTCCATCTCAACAGAATCAAAAGGCCTTCTTTAAATCAATGAAGGTTAGACAGAGCGGCATCTTGAACTCCAGAGAAACCTCAATGAGCTTGGTTATTGTGTGGATATGGTCAATGGTGCTGAATACTTTGTGGAACCCAGCTTGCTCGCATGGTTGTCTTTCATCTAGTGTTCTGCCAATCGTATTCAGGATGACTCGAGTGAATAACTTGTAGATGACTTGTAAGCTATAACAATTATCAGAAATTGACTTTTTTTCAATAATTACAACAGATATTTATTTAAAGTCATTTACCCATTTGCAGCTCAGATCAGTTCAAGATTTTACATTTCAGTATTAACAAATTTCATAAAAATCTTTGAGGACAGCTGCATCCAGATTATGTGATTACTTCTTTGCCCACTCTTCTCTCTCCTTTCTTTCCTGAATAACCTCTTTCAGATATGGTTAAAGGTAGAATTTATCTTCCTTGCATTTTTTCCACTGCTCCTTGGGCAGGATCTGCACCCTCACGGTCAGGTCCAGAGCCCTCTTGATGTGGAACATCCTGTCATTGTACAGGTTCTCAAGCAGCCTCCCGATGGCCCCTTTCACATTCTTGTCCTCATACATCATATCATCACGCATTAGCCTCAGATTGTTGAAGCCCGCTGCGTTGTAATATCATTTCCGAAGGCCCCCCAGCCATCAGCCTGAGGTTTGGACTGTCTGCCTGTCCGCCATGACGATGGAGAGCTGACTCTTTTATTTAAGTTTTAATAATGTTATTTGCCTTTGTGTTGTAACAAACATTATGAAGTAAATTTACTTCTGCCTGCAAGGAAGTAGGTTGGGTTGGAGGGTGGGAAACTGAGAACACTGGGGGAGAGAAGGTCACACTGATGGTATAATATGAACATCTTGGTAAATCACATTGTTGCAAATCAAATTTACTTTTAAAAATCTACAATATTATTTTCAAGTATTTACTGATTTCTAAAGAATACAGACTAGTGAATGATCCTCTTCTAACTCTCTCTAGATTCAGTTCACAATTCCTTGCTATTCTTCTAATTTAATGTTTTCTCTGACATACAGAGGCCAGGTTTATGCTATTTAAATCACGCTACAACTTATTTTGAAATCATTCTACTTATATATGTTGCTGTGGAAAAGGTAAGATAAAATATTTACACTCGAATGGACTATTTAAAGAAATAAATACATGACAGAGACTTTATGTGGCCAACCAATATTAAAATATTTAATAGATGACCTTTTATATAATGTTTGCTAACCTCTAAGACCTAAGACATCTTGAACTATCTAAAACAATAGAGTATTCATCTTATTAGATCCTACAATATAAGCCCATTTTTAAAAGAATAACACTAAACCTAATTTCTTTTGGTATCGTAAGTGTGCAAAAGCTACTCTCAGGTCTTACCTTTTCTCCTTTTACACCACTACAGTCACACTTTGATCCTGCAGAACACCCATAGCAAGCCTACAAAGAAGATCAAGAGGGAGAAAAACATTAAATGTAAATTGAAAAACACGACTGATTGACAATTAAACCAAAATCAACCATCTACATTTGCAAATCAAATAGGAAAATAACTGAAAGGCCACAAACCAAAATGGAAACAAAGTTTACTCAGGAAAGCTTTCACCTTCTATTGTATATATTCCTGGTTTGATATTTAACAGTGAACAATTGCCATTTTTATAACTGTAAAGTGAAAATCTTATTGTCATTATCAAGTCCCTTCCTTCACCTTACACACACATATTGCCTAACACAGTCATATAAATAATGGCCCACACATTACAGTATGGATGAACAGAATACCCTGGTTAAAGAAACTTTGGTACATCTACGAAACGGAATACTATGCAGCTATTAGAAAAGATGAAGTCATGAAATTTGCAAAGAAGTGGTTCTACAGGGAAAGTATCATGCTAAGTGAAATGAGCCAGAAAGAGAGGGACAGATATAGAAAGACTGCACTCATCTGGGGAATATAAAGTAACAGAATGGGAGACAAACACCCAAGAATAGTTGAGATAAGTACCAGGAGGTCTGCTCCACGGGTTGGAAGCCAGTAGCACATGCTGGGGAAGAAGGCAGCTCAGATAGAGAAGGAAACATCAAGTAAAGGATGTTTGGAGGATTTTCTTGAGATGTAAAATACATGCTGAAAGTAGACTATAGACTGAACACAATGGCCACTCAATACCTCTATTGCAAACCACAACACCCTAAAGGAAAGAGAGATAAAAAGTGAATGGCCTGGCACAGACGTGGTAGGGGTGGGGGGAGATGGGGTGGGTAGGTGGAAGGATACTGGAATCATTGGTGGTGGAGAGTGGGCACTGGTGGAGGGATGGGTACCCAATCATTGTATAACTGAAACCCAAGCACGAAAGTTTGTAAATCTACAACTGTACCTCATGGTGTACAGTTAAAAAAAAGAAATAATGTCAGTGGCTCTATCACTCTAGAGGTAAAGAAAAATAGAACATCTGAAGATACTTGATTAACTACAAGAAAACAGAAAGACAATTCAATGAACTCAGGAAAACAATTTCAGAAACAAAGTGAAAGAAAATAATAGAAATCATTTAAGAAGAACCCAAAAGAAATTCAGTTAAATTACGTTAAACAATTATGAGACTATAACAGTTAAGTTAAAAAATTCAATAAGTAAATTAAAAATTGAAATGAGGAGTCAACCAATTGGAAGATGTAATTAGTTATTCAGAGGATGGGGAATTTGAAATAACCAAGCTGACAAGAACAGATTTTAAAAGAATGAACAAAGCTGATGTGACCGATGGTACACTAGTAAAAGTCCAAATATTATAATTGAAATTTCTACAAAATGGGGAAATGTAGAGGGGGACTTACTTTAAAAAATAATACCCACAAGATTCTCAAATCTGAGGACAGATATTGTTGACTATGTTCAAAATAATTGCCCCACTATCTCAGTAGTAAATAATGTGGTCCAACATACATTAAAGGAAATGGTGAAAGATCAAGGACAAAGAGAATCATAAAAATTTAAAAATAGAGAAGAAAATAATTTTAAGAAAAGAAAACTTCATTAGGCTATGAGCTGACTTCAGAGACCAAAACCTTTCAAGTCAGGCGAGAAAGAAATGAAATATAGCACAGCGTTTGCCTTACAAGCGGCCAACATGGCCGACCCGAGTTCGATTCCTCCGCCCCTCTCGGAGAGCCCAGCAAGCTACCGAGAGTATTCGATATGTCAGACACAGTAACAACAAAGTCTCCAATGGAGACGTTACTGGGCCCGCTCGAGCAAATCGACGATCAACGGGAGGGCCTTTACCTTTTACCTTTACCTTACAATTTTATTTAAAAAAAATCCAGCCAATTATTCTCTATCTGGCAAAGTTATCCTGACATATGAAATAGTACTTTCCCAGACAAAAACTAAGGAAGTTCAACACCATAAGAGATGACTTGGAATAAAATGATGAAAGGAATTCTTTAAAGTGAAATTAAAAGAGGCTACAGTGATACATCTGAAAAAATACTATACTCTCAAGTTTGATTTTAGAAACTATACTTCTCTAATATGGTAGTGTGTTCACATTACACTGTATACAAAGTTTTAGAAACTTGCCACAAAGTGGGAGGGGGAGAGCAATTAGGACAGAGAAAGAACTACTATGACAATACTTGGAAATAACTCTGGAAAAACTGAGTGCTGAAAGGAGGTAAAGTGGTATGCATAACACCCTTTCAGTAGCAGTATTGCAAACCACAGTGTCTAAAAGGAAAATAAGGGGTGGAGGAGAGAGGGAGAGAGAGAGACAGACAGAAAGGAATGGCATAGAGGAAGGCTTTGGGGTGGGGCATGGGTGGGGCTGGCATAGGGAATCTGGGGACATTGGTTGCTGGAAATGTGAAGTGGTGAAGGGATTGGTGTTGGAATACTGTATGACTGAAACTCAATCTTGAACAACTTTGTAACTGTGTATCTTACAGTAGTTTAATAAAAAGGTGTTTAACATTTTTAAATGTAAAAAAATTAAAAATTCATAAGAGTAATATGTATTAACTGAAACTTATTCAAACTTTTAGCAATACCTTTCACTTTATCTCCTAATAACACTTGTAAGAAATTTTCAATATGTATCAGGTATGACCTTGACAACTAGTCAGGGATATTGGCATCAATAGTTTAACAAAGTCATATCCAATCACAGAACATAAAATACCTATTATCTACTTAAAAAAATAGATACCACAAAATTATGAAGTTATTCATGACTGGGTTTCAGGCACACAAATGTTTCAACACCAATCCCTTCACCAGTGCCCACTTCCCTCCAATAATACCCAAATCACATTTGTCCTTCACCCATCAGTTTGCTTCTATGAGGGGCACCACACAGCACCACTTCCTCATCCCTGTTGAATGTTTTTCTCCACTAGAGATGTTGCACGCTCCCTATCCTATAACCCCCTGCTCCCTCAAGTGTCATGTTTCCCACAAATGTTCTGTTTCCATTGGCTTTAGGTATTCTTCATCCACCATTATGTTTCTTTAAACCACACGTATGAGAAAAATGTTTGCCTTCTATGCAGCTAACTTGGGTTCAATCCCTGGCAGTACATGTTGCTAGGAGTGCTCTCTGAATATAGAGCCAGGATCAAGCCCTGGAAACAGCCAGATGTGGCTCAAAAATTTTAAAAAATATATAAATAAAACAATAACTTATATGGCAACATGACAGTATATAACTCTGCCATCCAAACTATCCTTTACTGTGGCTTGAACCTGAACTACTTAGAAAAACAAATAACAGTTTAACATAGCAAGTTATGCATTTTATAGAATAAGTGGTAAGCTTTCATAAAATACACAAACATTTAAATTATTTAAATAAATACAAAATAATCTTTAAAATAAAGCTCAGCCTTGGGAACCTAGTACTTTTGAGGGAGCAGTACCTTAATCTCGTCTCCTCCCATCATCCTATTATTTCCTTTACCCCAATTCTACTACAGTTCGAGCTCGAGCGGGCCCAGTAATGTCTCCATTGGAGACTTTGTTGTTACTGTGTCTGGCATATCGTATACGTCATGGGGAGCTTGCCAGGCTCTGCCGTGCGGGCGAGATACTCTCGGTAGTTTGCTGGGCTCTCCGAGAGGGGCGGAGGAATCGAACTCGGGTTGGCCATGTTGGCTGCGTGCAAGGCAAATGCCCTACCACTGTGCTATCGCTCCACTTTCCCCAATTCCTTTCAGAGTACTGAACTCATCCTTCTAATAAAATTCGTAATCAAATCAGCTTCAACTAGATGTCACTTTCACACTGAAACTGCTTTTCCTGATTATAAGACCAAGCAACTGTTTAATCTTATGAGACTCTTAGCATTCATACTGCAAGAATCTATTCCAGTAAATAAGATACCCCAAACATTTCTAATTAAGTCTTTTGTGCAGCCATGATTTATAATACAAAGTACATAAAATATGATTTTTATTCTGGATACTTATAATAGCACAGCGGGTAGGGCGTTCGCCTTACAAGCGGCCAACATGGCCGACCCGAGTTCGATTCCTCCTCCCCTCTCGGAGAGCCTGGCAAGCTACCGAGAGTATTCGATATGCCAAACACAGTAACAACAAAGTCTCCAATGGAGACGTTACTGGGCCCGCTCGAGCAAATCGATGATCAATGGGAGGGCCTTTACCTTACCTTACTTATAATTAAAAATGAATTGTTTGTATCATGCACTTGTGCTATGTATAAGAATCTAAGGGTCGTAGGGGGAGGTGGGAGCGCTCCCCTTTCCCACACCCCATGCGCCTCTTCTTCCCGCCGCCCCAGACCCCCTCCAGAACCCTCCGCCAGGGCAACCAGAGGACACTTTGGGGGACACCTACCCAAGTGCTGTCGGACACCCCATCCTCCTCTTCCGGTCCTCCATTCCAGGATAATAGGGGGAGCCGGAGTGCTCTTTTTTCCTACCCCTCACATGCCTCTTCTTCCCTTCGCCCTGGACCCCTCTGGACCCCCTCCACCGGGCAACCAGAGGACACTTTGTGGGACAGCTGCCCGAGCGCCGCCAGACTCACCATCCACCTCTTTCGGCCCTTCCATTCCAGGTTCCTGGGTGGGAGTGTCCCTGGGATCGTCTGTGGGCGTGGCGACTACTTAGGGGGAATGGCCTCCCCAAAAATGGGCGTGGCCTTCTCAGGGGCAGGGGGACGCTCATGGGGCCGCAGGTATATTTCCCATTCCCAGCAGGCTGGACTTTCATCCCACCCTTTATCACTTAATCACAATCACAATCACAACCATCCTGTTATTCTTCGATTGCCTCGAGCAGGCCCCAGTAAACGTCTCCTTCGTCCTAGCCCTGAGGTTTTTTTAAAAGTGCCATATTCAAGGCTCTTTCAGAGTTAGGAGAATGAGACCCTTTATTGCTACTGGTATTTGGCATATTCTGACCATCTCTACT